TACCTACTTTAGATATTTTGGTATGTCATGTGTATCACAAAATTAATCGTAATCATGACGTAATAATTACTCTTTAATATTCTTAATTCATGATCGATAATGCTGTAGGACTTGTACAAAATTCTTGAAGAGGGTTTATTTAGTCACTGTAATACATTAAATTAATGCCCATTTCTACCAATATAAATTTAATCTCGGTTCACTTTACTCTTTATCCTTTTCTAAAACTAGAAAAGATAAAAAATAAAAATGAACGTACAGTCTTCACTTAGAAACCATTGTGTCAAGACTGCACGTATATTCTCGAAATCTATTATTATTTTATCAGTATGACTGTCTACTACGAAAAAATTTTTGTTATCTATGTATTTTTATTTGTGTAATAGAGTATGGCGCTTATGTTGTGATTTCAATAGTCTGTTGTCAACCGTTGGGAAATCCACACATTACATGAAGAATTTGATTGGAATAAAAATTTGTGATAATGGATAATTCATTCTGAGGGTGACTTAAAAAGAAGTCGAAACATCAAATTTCTATTGTATTCATCGCTCATCGAAATCACATCAAGGTTTATGTAATAAACTAAATAAATATAAGATAATCGCATTAATAATTGCATTGATTCCCATAGCTGTTATTAGTTTTTATCATATAAAAAATAAGATATAAACCAAAATTAATCTGTAATGCATTAATAGAAACAAATCCAACAAAAGGACTCTAAACAGAAATGTGCCCGCGGGGAGATTTTCAAAAATATAAATGTTTTCCAAGCTCTTATCTTTTCATATCTATTTTCAATCTTGTTCGATCTATGAAGATATCTTTTCGCACACGTAGGGCACACGCGATCTCGTTATACGAAGCTGTGCAAGGAAATATTCGTTCCACGGCATATTTCCGACAAACTTGGCGGAACGTCGGCAGGAACGACGCAAAAAATAATGCTCGCTTGAACTTCAATCCTGCATGCAGGACCTATACCTTCGTATGCAGGTGTAATCTGTTCTACCCTTCGAATAGCTTGTACGAGCAACTTACCATGCTCAAGGCTCAGCATGTTACGCTCACTTACTTATTATTACACACTGCATGGCAACGTGATTTATGTCTGAAATAGATCTGTGCAAACTGCAGCGTATGAGTCAGTATCATTTAAGACTATATGACTAAAGATTATGGATTTAGGTCGCAGTCTGGCGATGAACTGAGCGTGAATGAGACAAACGAATGAAGGCACTTCTAATGTACATAGATTTTGAGATTTGTCAAAGTATACACGAAAGAACAGTTTTGTTGAAAAATTTAGTTAGATACAGATTTGAAAATAATTTTAATTTTTTTTTTCATCAAAATAATTTTTAGATCTGTTTCTAACTAAATTTTTGAATACCTCAGTAAAATCGTTCTTTCCGTATATATTTTAATTGTTAATGTTTATTGCCAAAATTTAAAATATAAGTATAGAATCTCGTATGGTATACATTACACATTTCATTATAATTTTCTATGTAGATACAAAATAAAATAAAATTCGAGCTAATTAATCATCATTTGTGACTAATTTGAAATATCAGAATTTAATGTAAAAAATGCTTCATCTTTCCGAAACTAATACGTTTTTTCTTTGATTACAACAATAAAAATGGCATTTTTTTGCTCCACTTTTGAAATATTCAAATAAACATTAATAAAGTTTTAAAGTAATATCATAAAATGCTTCATACATTTGTATCCTCATTTTACTCTCATAAAACTCACTTCTAAAATATCCAGCAATTTGGACGCGATTCCGTAGTTTTCGGTCAGTGACATTTCAAAATTAACGTAACGAAACGATATTTCGATATGATAGGAATGACCGAACAACGATAAGATTTTGTCTCGCGATGTGTTTGCTGGAACGTATCCAAAGTTTCTTCAAAGTCACGTGGGGGGTCGTGGGGGGTTCCCTCTTCTTTCGCGACACTGAAAGTGGCATTGTACGCGTCTGAGACCACCAAAGAGTGCAGTAGCACGGAATGACGACGAGTTCTTTGATCCTCCCTCGAAGAGGCTGCATGCCGTCTAACGAGATTACCCCGCCCCGTGTAATTGCTTGTGAATGCGCAGATATACTCGCGACAATGGGTACACGTTGATGGGACCTCGATTCAAGGTGACATGAAACGAATCACGATACAATATGCAAGATCGATCTGTAAAAACAATGCTTAATAAGTTAACAATTTAATAATTTTCGCACGGAGTGTACTTTCTGTTCACATGATGTATTTATTTATTATTTAAAGGAATTTAAACGACTGTTTAAAAAAGCAGGTGGATTATGGATTCGAAAAAATTGAAATTTATTTTCTGTAGTAAGAATGTTGAAAAGATCATTGTTTGTTGAGCCCCTCGAAGCTAACACTTATTTGATTCCTATCACTAAATACAGAGAAGGAACATAATCCTTGAATAAACATAGATGTAGAAATTAGTAAGCAATAAAAGTTTTTAAAGAATCTGTTTACAATTAATTTGAAAAACATTTGAAAAATTGTTTAAAACTTAGAACCTCAAAGAGTTTTTTAGTTTCTTATTTCCAATTGCTTGCAAGTTAAGAACTTTGATATCTCAACATTTTCATCGAAAAAAAGTGATATCAAATTTATCAAAGAAGCTATAAATAAGAATTAAAGATATTTTATAACACACTGTGAAAAGAAATGTGTTTTATTCTTGTCCCCATTTTTTAAACACTTAAAGATGTTTTAGTTTTAAACTTTTTCAATAGATACTACAACATCCTTGTAATCGAATGTCAAACAAGGATGAAATAATGCACGCGAGCGGACATTAATTGAAACACACCCATAGTGTTTTAAATCCAAACACATAGAGTATTGTATCTATTGAAAAAGAAAATTTAAAACTAAACATCTTTAAGTATTTAAAAACTGGAGACAAGGATAAAACATTTTGATATCTTAAACACACATAAAATTAAACGCTTCTTTTTTCAGTCATCATAATAGGTTTTCCAAAACGACATAACAGATAATAGATATTTAGATTCAACAGATCTCGCATCGTTTATTATCTATGTTGTAAATTTGATGGAGCTATCATCAGTGATACCCGTTGTACATGCTCGATGGGATCTCGATCGCGGTGTCGAAGTTTGTGTTAGAGAAACGAGCGCGACGGTTCGAAGCCCCGCGGCTACACTGATTGCGGCGGACCCTACGACCCGTACAGACCCGGGAATGCCGTCCCCGGCCGGCCGGGACCCTCATCCAAGGACGTACCCGCTTCCCAATCAGAAGCGAAATCAGATTGTTTAACACAGCGGACACCAACTGCTATTTAAAGGCAGCATCTGCCCCATGGGGCTTGCTACATTCCGACGCGACGACGCTCCATCATGGAAACCGTTGTCGAGAATGTTATCATTATGGGGGGAGTATCATTCGCATTGATTTTTCGCAAATAGATACATATTGGCGAGAATATAAATGAGAACGAATATTTCTTACAGTTCTTAATACTTATAAATGACTTGTCGCGAATTGTTCAGAACCGATTCGGTTCTCCTTAAAATATATCATTAAATACAAAAATCTAAGAGGTATGTGTTTTTTTTATATCAGTTCAATCTCAAATTTAAGGGGTGACACCCCCTCAAAATGAATAGGTATGGGAGTATTATCGAAATATTAGATTTTTGAACAATCCAAATATACAGTTGTAAAATATATATAAAATCATAAAAGCTTTGTCTGAAATATTTTTCTTCATCTCATCGTTTTGTTGATAATTGGAATCAAAGCGTTAGTTTTGAGAGGTTTTGTTTCAGCTCTTAAATCTGAGATTGGGTAATATAAAAAAAAATCCGTATCTCTCTTCGATTTTTATGCTTAAGAACATATTTCAGAGAGAATTGAATCAATCCGGATAGTTGTGACAGGCCATTTGTTAATGATGTCTATTCTGTGAAATAAATGAAAAATGTTATAATCAAACTATATATTCCTCCATCCAATTTGCTTTTTAATTTTCTTTAAACAAAAATAGATGCTCAGTTGAAAAATTCAGATAACACAACATTTTATCAACTAAATAAAATTTTAACAATTAATTTTCAGTTCTTTATCACTTGAATAAAATTGTAACAATTATAACATGCTGCATTTTATTTTTTAAAAAGTAGTATAGATATAAACAACTAATAAAATATTTAAAAATGATTTTGAAGTTTATAAAACTTGAAGTGTTGAATCATAAAAAATGGGGAGATAAAAATTGTAAGTATATGAATAAAATGCGCGTTGACGCGTACGTTAATGACGTGACGGTCTTCGAGCCAATTTAGAAATATCGCAATCCCACTGATTTTCGAGTAGAGCCAACCGACTGACCTTTGCAGACTATCGCCTGCGAGCATGTAACGAGCCAAAATTAAGGGGCATTGTACCCTTAAACAGATTGCACACGTCCGTGCGTGAACGTGATCCCTAAGGCTCTCGGACGAAAAACGCTCGTACGAAGAGGGAATCCTCGTATGATAAGACGAAGAGAGGAGGCCTACACTACGACGAGAATGACACGGCGACGAAAACGAACGGGGAGATAAACGTACACGTAGCACACTCAGCCCCGTGTGTTTACTTACACGGAAATCCTCTCTAACGGATTCTAACGCTCGACCGAGTTTGCACTTTTTCATCTTCGGACCGATGACTTTCCTCCCGCGATCGAAGTATTCTCGAGCCACCGCTACATGAAAGTGTTCGGAAATCATCTGGCACCTCTTTCGACAGATAATTACGCGTCCGTTATGATGGGAACTATGGTTCAAACTGAAAGTCGAATGAATCGCACAGTCATACTTTGCTGTTTTATTTGAATCCAGAACTCTTTTCATTTCTTAAAAACGAATCATTCATCCTAGATATATTTTTTCCTGTAAAATTTTGATGGGGAGTAATGCATGGATGCGAAACATCCTGTTTCAGGCTATGGAAGCAGCTTATCAAAGACAGCACTGGACACGCACAGCCATCTCAGGCAGCCTGGTATGTAGTAGGTAGATATTTTTGAGAAGTTAAAGCGTTCACTCCTAAAATGAATTCTAATCAGTGGAATCGGCGAATCAATGAATTCGACGAATTAATTTAATTAAAACCTCTACATGTTAAAGTCACTAGCATAAAAATATCGATCTCTGAAATAAAATCTGACAAATTTTTAAGATGTGAAATTTTTTATTTAGTTATCCCAAAGAATTATTTCAAATTTCATTATAGATAATAGCGTGTAAAGTCCATCTCGGATAATCTATATAATTTGAAACAAAATTTCGTATAGATTTTTATTTATAATTTTATGTAATTTTATATCAAACTATGTGTAAATACATATACTTATTGTACTATCATATCTAATTTGCAATTTTTCCGTAATAATAAGATACGTCCTTGTTTCATAAATAATATTCTCTTCATATGTCTTCTATATTATGATAAATTATGGATTAATCTTTGTTTTGAATTACAAATTAAATAGATCACTTGACATGGCTTAAATCAAGGACTGAGAGTACAAGGTCTCTTTTTACCTGAAAAGCGGGCTTATCTATGCGATAATCAAACAAGGTCACTGTTACTTCGCGCGTCATCGATTCCTTGGAGTTTCGAATCGCGATGAGAAAAGAGCCTCGAATCCTTGGGCGTAGTCGCATCCCAGTATTTCTCTCTCCCATCAGTTCCCTCGTTCCCGGCAGATAAATGGGTGTACCGCGCCCCTTCCCATTATTAACTTGTAAGTGAATTACCGTTCGATCGAAAGGCGATCACTCCGGCACGCATTCAGCGGATTCATCGGGCGAAACGACCTTTGAGGTCCGGCAATTCCGAATCCGTCCCCATCATCCGCGTCTGTCCCCCTCTCATAATCGCTCGACTTGTATTTTTATGGGGTTCGTCTTGGAGTTCTCGTATCAGGACTCTTCTTCGTTCAGACTATCGAAATCATTAAATCGGGACGTTTAACCTCCTCGTTAAAAAGTCTGTGATATTTTTTTTATTTAAAAGAAATTGCAAGGTACTTTTACTCACACACATTAATTAGGCCTATTGTTAATCCACAATCTTTAACCATCTTAATTTATAATTACTGTTTATAAGAATTCATAAATCCTTCCTTCGTTGTATTATTTTTTTAAATGAAATAAATATATATAAAGATCTCTAAATACAAAAAAAATATAAATCAAGATATTCTATTATTGCAAATCATATGTTAGAATTTGGAAGGATGTAATAATATTAGATTCAGAACGAAATTATTATATAAAAGATTAATATCAAAAATGATTCATATCAAAATCTAGAAAAATAGTATTCATACTAACGAGAACACTAAACTTTGAAATAAATCATATTTTTAATGTACTTGAGAGAATTTTAATAGTGATTATTAATATGTTTATATACACAATAGCACACCGTCTGATCTTTATTATTTATCACAGCTTATAATTAGTGTTATCTTCATTCCATTCTTAATCTACAACAACATTCCATGTGAAAATTATATCATAATGTACAGTAATTCTGTAAGTTTACTCTCTTTTTATTGTTTCTTTTTTTCTATTGGTTCTTCCAATTATGTTCACATTCTAATATTGTTATATTCATCTTGTAGTTTAACGTTGAGTTAATTTAATGTTGAGTAAGGGAAATACAATACAGACTGACATGAGTCTTTGAAAATTATGTTTTTGGTTGGTTTTCTCAACTTGAGATATTAACGGAGTAACGAAAATACTTCAAAATGTAGGAACACGGTGGCAGATTATGAAATTACTTGCAATTTTAATTTTTCCTTTTGGCCAATACTATTAGGATTATTTGCGATTTCTTTCATCTTTTATCATTTTGACATTCTAATTTTTAATCCCCTATGACTTTTCATGCGTAATTGAATTTCATTTCTTGTAAATGATATGCGACTGAAGAAAACTTAAAATTAATTTTGCTTATTAATGTATTTAAATTCACTTAATATTTATAATATTATTCTTCATTTTTGCTCTTCTTTAACTCTGTTCCTTCTATTATTATAATGTTATACGCTATTTAAAAAATTCTAAAAATATAATTTTATAGTTATATAAAATATTTGTGTTATGTTACTCATTATTTCAGACAATAAAATTCTAATCGTAGTTTTGAGAAAAGCTGTCTTTAGTTTATCCAAATTATTACGCTTTATCTTATATTGCAATATTGCGACGATAAAAATCGATATATCGAGTCGCTTGTCTAAACCTTCGAAAAGTTTAGAAGACACTCGTGTCGCCCTTTAAGCCACTCCGTCGGCAGTTTCTCAAATTGAAATTATTATGATCCAAATGAATTCTATTCTATTGTGAGGTTGCGATTATGTTCTTTTGTATGACTGTAGGGCCCTTCATGTCTGAGCGGCGGCGAACGTCGGTGATGACGCATTGTAAAGCTTTTAAAGGGTGATACGGGGGCCCTTGAAAAACAACCGTGTAATGGATAGGTATATCCTACATGAAACTGCGAAAAATTTTATCGTTTGTGCTTATTCACAGTGTGAAAACTGAGTTTACTGATATAAATCACGCAAACATTTTGCTCTTACATATAATTAATAAATTGTCATAGTATTAGAAGTGTGATTTAGTTTTGAGGGCTTTGCAAGAGATAATATTAATGTCAGTGTTATCGAAGACGTTTCAATCACAACTATTATTTCTTAATACTTTAATATTACTCCATGATATTTAGCCATTTGTTAACAATAGACGTAGTAACATCGTATTTATATCATTTAAAAAATGGAGCTTCCTAAAGAACATTTTCGACATGCGTTGCTTTTGTTTTTTAATCAGAAGAAAATAGCGGCTCATAGAACTATAAAGGTCATAGAACTCTGATAGAAACTTATGATGATGTTCATCAATTAAGACATGTGAATATCGATTCTGTCGATTCAAAAGTGATGATTTCAATGTTAAAAGCTGGAAAATGCAAATTTACAAGCGTAAATTGAACAAAAATCTACTACAATCTACGTCAGAATTTGTCAAAGAATTAAATGTTAAATCGTACAACAGTTATTAAACGTTTATGTGATATGTTGTTTAAATAAATCAGTTTTTGAGAAAAAAAAACCCTCAAAACTAAATCACACTCTCAATAATATATTTTAAGAAGGGAGGAAGCGATCTTGACATACTTGACTAGTATCAAATTTGATCTCGTACTTGAGGATAAAATTCCCTCAAAACATATTTACTCAAGCAATCTAATAATTAAATAAATATAAAACTTGCCAAGTATTATGAATCTCTTATGACCCACAGATCCCTACCAAATGTTCGGGGCGACGAGCAGTCGTCTCGCAAGCTCTGGTTCCGGACAGATACAGCTCTGGCAATTTCTACTCGAGCTTTTGTCGGATTCAAGTAACGCCGCGTGTATCACGTGGGAAGGAACCAATGGTGAATTCAAGTTGACCGATCCCGACGAGGTGGCGAGACGATGGGGCGAGAGGAAGTCCAAACCTAATATGAATTACGATAAATTATCGAGGGCCCTGAGGTGAGTTTCAGCGTCGCGCCGCGCCGATAACAGCGGCGCGTTTTTCCCGAATGTCAAAATGGAAAAGCCATTAACGGACCATCATTTATGTTTTGACGAAGTTTCGGGGTGAAAGTAAATTCGTTCGATACGTGAACGTTCGAACGTTTTGCGTTTGCTCGCGCGCACATATATATATATATATATATACATATATATATGTGGTGTCGCGTCGGGATTCAGGGGGTGGCGGACAAGGGAGAAATTTCAATCATCGACAGTCAGACTGACGATAGACGTGGCTATTATTTTTCCATCAGATCCACTGATTATATTACGCGATTGCTCTTTTTGACATCCCTTTACTAACCGTATAAGAACTCTCTGACAAGCAAGCTCATTTTCAATGTCGAAGTTGAAGACGTTGAACTTAGAATTCAATTTTTTACCGCAAAATTTGTATATGTAGCAAATTTATGTATATAGCAAAATGTAAGAAATAATGTCAAATATATGTCAATATAAGAAACAACACACACACAATATTTATGATTTCGAAAAAAGCAAATAATGAACTGTCTTTGAATCACTTATCGTTTATATGATTTATTATCATACTAATGCTTATATTAAATAATTTTACTAAAATTAAAATCATGGCTTTGAAAACAATATATAAATCTTCGTTTTATTTGATGAATTTTTAAGTCATCGCTTAACAGTTACAGTTGTCTCAATTTTGTAAGTTTGATGGCAAATCGTATATGCCAATGGCAAATCTATCGATAAGCTAATAAAGTTAATGAAGAAAAGTTAAAGATTTTGGGATAATCCCAGATAGTCTCCGAAATTTAGATATGCTGTTCAATTTTTTAAGAGAAAATATTAGCACAAAAATATTAGCTTCAAGCTCCTGAAAATATAGATCTATTATCACTCAACGTTAGAACTCATAAAATCTAAATGAAGCGTCCGGTCTGTTTGCAGGTATTATTACGACAAGAACATCATGACGAAGGTGCACGGCAAGAGGTACGCGTACAAGTTCGATTTCCAGGGACTGGCAGCCGCGACGCAGCCGGCAGCGGCCGATCCGGCGGCGTACAAATACCAGAGCGAGCTCTTCATGTCCGGTTACGGTCACGCGAAGCTGAACCTGATGCCGCCGCCGGCGGCGTCGGTCTCGGTTTCCGTTCCCGGTGGCCTTTTCCAATCGGCATCGAGCTACTGGTCGACGAGCCCGGGCGCCAACTTGTATGCCGGCCATCACACGGCCTCCGGACACGTGCCACCTCATCTCGGCACCTATCCGCATTACGCATGACCCGCCGCCGAGCACTGGGGTGCTCTCGGCACACCGCGTTGAAATGTTTCTACTGAATAAAAATGTACGGAGCCGCATCTGCCACCGTCGTCGTCACCACCGCCGTCGGCAGCATGTGAAATCGTAAATTGCGCACCACTCGGCCCCTTATCATCCCGCCCCCGCAGGCTCGGACCGCACATTGTTTCAGGTACTTGCACGAATCTGTCCATATCGCGTTATATTGCTTGCAACATTATCCTTTCGTAATGGATTACAAAGCGATCGTCGCATTTCCAATAATTCAAATGAATGCGAGTAGCAGAGTAAGTAGTATGACAATAAGTTTTGTAACATCTTTTTCTCCCGGACTTGGGGAAGTATAATTAAACATGCAATCAACATGTTGCCTCTCTTATATTCAATGTACACTTCGTTTTGATAGTGTTCAGCAACGCTCATCAATTGTTTATTTTATTTAATAAGTTATCTCTCGATTTTGCGTCAAAAATATGAAGTAATACTTTTGAAAAACAGAGAATATCAATATCAAATTTTTTTCATAAATTTCTAATAAATTTAATGATGAAGAAATTATAAAATTGTTGAAAGACATTTGCAGAAAAAGGAGAAACAATAGCGCGTGATATTGTTTCAAAATGATACAAACATTTATTGAGTTGAAAGAACTTTTCAACTGACATCTCTACCGATAGGTACATATTTCAATTGAAGAGTTTCAAGAGTGCTTCTAAACGTGGAAACATGAGATGTTTAGAGTGTGTAGGAGAAGCCTACTTTGAAAGAGATAACATTAATTTAAATGAGTGAGTTACATTCGAGTCTAACTAAATTTTATTTGTAAACTTAAATATCGGACCATGTTTTCTAATGTACATCTGACAATTATAAAAATACAAATTTTGTGCGAAAACCACTCATAGATATATTTATATTGAATTTAAAGGAAGTAAACTGTAAAGATATTTATTTTCACTGACCAACTATTAATGAGTTATGTACAACAGTCTAGGTCACTGTCGAGTCGTCAGTAGTGACATAGCTTTATAATCGAACGTAAGTAGTAGACAATCCCATAAGTAGTAACGGACGAGCAGCAGACGCAGACATCCGTTTAGCGATGCATGGAAAGAATGGCTAAAGTAACTAAAAATTTAGATTTATAAATAATTTTATTGAACCATCAAAATAATTATATAGGATGCTCAAACTGGTTATTAGAATATTAAAACTCGTTGCGGTATTATCATTATGAGTGCTCTACATAATTATTTTGATAATTCAACAAAATTATTTTCAGATCTGGATTCGAATTTATATCACATGCGAAAATTTGTAATATTACATAATTATAGTATTTTCATATGTGATTTTTCGAGAAGGCCCCTATATCCAGCTAAATTTTTAAATACTTTAGCAAAGTTGTTTCTTTCATTCATTCTTTCCGTTTCTTTCGCAGAATTTATTACAAATACATATTCTTTTTATTAAGAAAATATTATTTTATTTAGAAAACGTTTAAAGCTTTGTGTAATCATTAAAGTTTCCTGTTATAGAAAAATTTAACGAAGAAAAAGATTTTTCCATGTATTCAAACAACAGCTTTTTCAATTTTACTTTTTAATTTTTAATTTTTATTATTTTAATGTAATATTTATATAATATAGCGATTTCTTTACATTTATTTAGTAATTAAAGCAGTAGACACGAGACATATTTACGCGAGTAATATAACGCGTTTGGACAGATTAAATATCGATATCGTGCGATATGGTTGTCTTAACAAAGTGCAATACCTAAACAAGCCTAAATAAGACACCGTTGCAACTTTTCCAGTGCAATGCTTAAACAACGTGTAACAATCAGTGATTATTTACGCGCCGCCATGCAAAGGCGACTCTGACGTAATGCTTGCACTATGGACTCTTCGCGGCCGACGGGGTGCGCTCAGAAAAGAAAAAAAAAAGATTATTGTAAGAACGTTGTACATACAGTATAATGCATTACGTTAGTACAGGGTGTGCGTCCGTGAGAAAATTCGCATGAATCTATTTACCGTTATCGTGTTGCCATAAAGAACACACACGTCCTTGGATAAACTTTATCAATTCAAATGCTTGCGTTTAAATTAAGCATCTCTCAATGATTCTTTACCAAATATCTTTACCAAAGAAAATTAGCTCCCTTATAGTTTGCAGATAGTATATTAAGTGACAAAACATGTAATTTAAAACTTATTATATGTATAAACATTATTTCTTTAATATTCATTTACCATTCTTCGACATCGTTTGTCATTTTATCTAGTCATGCATTTAATGGCCTGCGTTTAATAGAAAAAGCAGCTTTACGATTGCTTTAATATTCTTTAATATAATTGATTTATATTTAGATCCAGCGAGAAATTAAGGACAAGAAGCATTCAGGAAAAGTACACAAGTAATAGTAATATAATCAATTTTATAATTTTACATTCAACAATATAATGTTACGTGCGTGTGTGTTATATTATATTTATATTATTAAATGTGAAATTATAATATTGATGTTATGCTACTATTAGTTGATGGTTATTAAACAATCATTTTAAAGGATCTGACAACAGTTGTAAAACTGCTTTTTCTGCTGAATACAGCCGATGTTTTATTTTATTTTATTTTATTTTATTATTTTTTTTATTAAAGTGCGCATCAATATCATTCGCGAAGATGTTAGCCAGAGAGCAAAATATATATAATCGCATGACGGTAAATTGAACATGCGAAATCGTTTGGTCCAAGGAAACGTGAACTCGTACGCGAAAGGAGCTGACAAAATTCCACGAGCATCGTCAGCGTTCACATTTGGACTAAATCGGGCATATGTACATTAAAACGCATTAAAATCTGTCGATAATAAATCACAATTTTAAACGAGATCCCGCGGCTGTTTGCTCGCAGAATGTACTCATGTTCGATTCAGACCAAAGCTGATACGTGTATCATAAACTCTTTTAACTTATTTGTTATGTGAAGAAATGGGTAGAGATGCTACATAAAAATAAATCAAATGATGGGCGTGTAAGAAACGATCGAAGTATAATATTTGTACATTTATTCAGTCAGCATGTCGGTGCTTGCTTAAGCGTGAAAATCGCTCGTTCCTTTGATGTAATTTTACAACGAAACCGCGTTAACCGTACATTCTCATCATCCGTCATCGAGAGAGGCGTAGACGATAATCAAAAAGTACAACGTTTAAGTCATATCAATTGACGGCATACGCAATCAGAATCAAACTTTCACCCCATCCTTTTTAGAAATCACGAGAAATATGTGGCCGCTCTACCCATATCGAGACGAAGGATGGATTGCCGAAACCGAATTCGATTCTGAACAAAACACAGAGATTTGTATTTTGGAGCAAAAATTATCATATTAAATCATTTAAATATAAATGATAACTTCTAATTTATTTCCGACAAAGCAACCTTATCTCTTATAGAAATTTAATGTTAATCTAGTGTTAATCAATTAATCACTTATTTTCAGTATTAAAAATAATGTTAACAAAATAAATGATTAATTGACCAAATACTACTGAAAGAAAAGATTGGCTGAATATAACGTAGCATTTTTAATTGGCTGTAGCAGCCAATTTTTGGTTGCGTTAGCCTGTCTGCAATGTTAGTACAAGATTTCGATAGACTAATGCAACTAAAAATTGGCTCCTGCAGTCAACTAAAAATGTTATGCCATATTTTACTATCTAATTTGCAGCAACTAATTTTTTCTTTCAATGTAGAATTAAATTTCTACAAGGAACGAGGAGATATAATATCAGAGTGCCATTAAACACAACTTTGTTTAGCATTAACGGACATTATACTAATTAAGAAAAGTTACACATATTGCAGAAGAAAGGAGAGAAAAAAATCATCACATAATTGATTTAATAATTAACCTGTTAAAAATCTGTTCATAAAAAATAATATTCTTGAATTAGATCTTATTGCAAGAACGAGCGACGATTTGATAATCTGTCTGTAGAATTATTGTATCATAATTAAATAAAATCATTTAAAAAACGTTTTTGGCAATTAATAAAGAAATAATTTTATGGATAATATTCGTACACAAGTGTACTTCATTTAATACTTAATTTTTTTGAAGTTGTCTTCTCCATATCAGTCGAAACAGAGTTTAATAAAAAAATTAATTTAAAAAACCTAACCCAATAAGAAATGACAGTGAAATTGATGTCGAATCGACGTCGATTTGATGATTTCGATTCCATTATCATTTCTCACTGTAATATCATTTGAATGAATGATAGCACAAAATTCATTCTTAGACAGGCTATTCAAATAAAAAAAAAGTAAAAGAAACAAAAGAACTTGCAGTATAGGTCGTAAATACTGACAATGGATACTTTTCAGCAAAAGACACAAGTAACACATTATAGGACAGTGAATTATTACATCATTATCATCATTGTTGTTTGCCATGTTAAACAGAAATAAAATGACTAACATTGTGTTATATTATCAGTATTACACTAGCGATTGGAGATTGCGTCTACAATCGCGTTTGCGTCTCTTGATCAATCAAAAAGAAGCTATTGATCAGCAGTTCCTTTCTGATTGGTCGAGAAATGAAAACGCAAATGCAGACGTAATCCGCTATGCAGACTCCAATCGCTAGTGTGATATCGACACTGGCTGCGATCAAAGTCTCACTACAAATGCTTTGAAACATTTGGTTGACCAATTAGAAAAAAGAATTTTACAAATTAACCAATCAAAAATTGCTTTAAAGCATTTGTAGCATCGCGTTAACCGTATTCTTATGTCTCTTGTTGAAAGCACCAAATATGTAAAATTTATCTGATTCGTATCTTGGTTACTTATCACTAATATTTTCTCAATAGTCTAAACTATCTATTGGTGTATAGTCTTTGAAAAGCGCGAACTTTAAAGAGCACAAACCCTCGACGGGTAACCAAGAGTTGTTTGAAAAACATCACTCAAGTGCCTTCGAGTATTTTATCCTCGTTTAATTCGGTGAACAACAAGGTTAAAATGATACTCGGAAGCACTCGGGTAACGTTTTCAAACGTAGCAAGAAACCATTTTCCTTCGCGAATATCGCAATCCTCATCGACGCGTGTCGGCAATCCTTCCCCAGAAAAAGGAAGGCGTACCTCGTGTCGGAGAGAAGCGTAACTCCTTAAGACGTATACTGTACCATACTACTCATAAGTGGCCCTAAGCATTCCTAGAATAATTTTAACGATTAGCGCGGCCCCCGAGACGGCCCGTGGGACCGATCGTGCAATCGGCACCGCGACGGGAAACGGTTGTTATCCAGCAGATGGTTTCCGGATCGGTCCGACGGGTCGCGAGTGCGAAAGGGCGCTCATGTAGATAGGGTGTTTTCATGTGTAGCTTAGGCGTGTAGAGAATTTAGTCTTAGTGCGAGGATGCGGCGAGAAGTGAGTGTCAAGAGAGAAAGAGAGAATGGAGTAAAGGCGCGTTGCGTGCGTTATTATGTGTATTTGTGTGCAAAATAGGAAGTGTACGCGTGAGCAGGCGTGATTTCGAGAATGGAGGTGAATAATAATAACTGCGATGATTATACGATGATGACGATGACAATGATGGATGAGTGGATGAACGAGGGATGTCTGGCACTAGCGTAGAACGCGTTAGGTTAGATAGATAAGCGATCCCCCCTTCCCTCCCCCCCTGCCACCCTATCGAAGGCCGAAAGGACACGGTTTCTCATCGCTAACTTGATTGCGGAATCGAAGAAGACACAACGGGATAGACCTGAGAGAATCGCGGGAACCGCACCCGGGAAATCGGGGGGAGCGCTGTTGTTGTTCTTGTTGTCGTGCGCTTGTATTAAAGTCGCCATGTTCTAATTAAACGTGCCGACGGGGTTGTATCAGTCGTCGGCAAAATCAATGTGGCTCCCATTTCTCTATGCGTTCGCGTTTGCCTTCTTGATCGCGTATAAAAAAATGTATAGTCAAAAAAAAACAAGAGAGAAAGAGAGAGAGAGAAAGGGAGAGCCAGAAGGGTAAAACGGATAGGAGGCAACTGAAGAGGAATCGGGGAGGAGAAAAAAATGGAACTCTACGGCTTCTTCCCTTTCGCTCCTCGTATGTTACGTATGTTTAAACGCATGTGAGCAAAAACGCATGTGAGAAACCAAGAAAAAAAAG